GGACCCGAATCACTTTCGTGTCTCCCACACTGCCACCAACTCCCGCCACCCCCCTTGTGCTGAGCCACTCGTCGTGACACCACTCAGTGAAGGTTGCTTGGCAAAGCCGCTGTACTGTGAGTGCGTCTGGACTGACGATCGCACGAAGGGCAGTCGCGATGGGCAACTTTGGAGACCCGTGCCCCCTCCGGGGTTTGTTGCTCTGAGTGATATGGGTGTCCACATGGACAATCGTGGCATCTCGCCGGGCACACGTAAGCCTGCGCATGAGATCGACCCATGGTTTCGCTGTGTGAAGGACACTCTGGTTGCCCCTACTGGTCGCACGGCAAAGCTGTGGACTGACGCCGGCTCCCGTGGGAAATATGATGGGGGTGTGTGGATGATCGCTGACTCTGATGGATTTGCAGCGGGGTCTGGAAAGACCTACGAGGGCGGAGTGCGACATCAGGAGTACAAGCTCATTTAGCTTGGTCACCTCTGACCTCAAAAAGCTTCTTTCAGCCTTCCTGCAACAGGCGAGCTTCCTGAGTCCCTTAAGGCGTAACTCGAGCAGTTTCAAGGTAGAGGCGTTTTCAAAACGTGGTCCGGCCTATCAAGAAGAATGCCAGTTGCGCTGCTGATTTTTTTAAATGTCTTGGTCGCCCGTCTCATGAACCGGATGGGCAACTGCCAACAGTGAAAGTTCAGAGTCGAGAGAGACGGCGCTGCACTTGCCTGCTACAGCACCTGCAATATCTTGCAATGCTCAGATCCACCCTCGTGGATGCCAGAGGCCGAAGGAGTTCGAAGAGCTGCAGGAGGTGGGGATGTTGTTGCAACCCAGCGCCTGCCTTGCTTCTGCGGTTTGCTCTCTTGGCGAATGTGCCTCCTCTGTCGCTTTGCGGTTTGCGAACAATGCGTGGACACGTTTTTCGGAACAGCGGTTTCCGCAAAACTGAGAGTGTGGCTATCCGTTGCTGACGTTTGTGGGTTGAAGCACATGAGCTGGCTGTCCAGGAAGCAAACATGCATGATGTCGTCATCTGTCATCTGCAGGTCTGCAAACCTTCGACAAACGCAGCGCCGGAAATCAACAAGCCTGGATCATGTCAGACACCGGCCGTTCTGAAGGTCCCTTGATGGAGTAGATGGATCTCTGATACCAGGCCTGGGCCTGCCATGCTCGACCATGCTCGCCCGGCGCCAAGAATAGCGGCTCAATAGCGTGTGGCTGCGTATATGAGTCATGCAGAGGATGCTCAGCAGCCGAAAGCATGAGGCAGTGCCCTCTCCTCCAGCTTCGGGTTGAGCCGCCGCATGCCGCCGCCTTATCAGACATGCCTGATCGCCAGAGGAATGCCTGAACTCGAAGGATGCCTTCGGTTTTGGCCTCGAGGCGTGTGGTGTGCTTTCAGAGCATGGGCTTCGGTCCTTTGGTGCAGGGCTCGGTAAGGCTGTAAAAGGCCTCGACGTGTTCAATGTACATGAGTCACATGATGCTGCCAGTTTCACTTCTCTGGTCACGCGCCTTGCTCGTAGCGGTAGCAGTGGAACTGAAGTAGCTTTCGAGGTGACCTCCCGAACCCTTCCATAGTGCCATGGCGGCGCCGGCGCAGCCAGCTCTCGCGATCAAGGTTCACCGTCACGGATGGGAAGAGCAGTACTCTGATCGGGGGACAGGGGCAAGGCAAGACTTGACCACCTGGCGAGCGAAAGACCCTCTGGACCCGAATCACTTTCGTGTCTCCCACACTGCCACCAACTCCCGCCACCCCCCTTGTGCTGAGCCACTTGTCGTGACACCACTCAGTGATGGTTGCTTGGCAAAGCCGCTGTACTGTGAGTGCGTCTGGACTGACGAGCGCACGAAGGGCAGTCGCGATGGGCAACTTTGGAGACCCGTGCCCCCTCCGGGGTATGTTGCTCTGAGTGATATGGGTGTCCACATGGACAATCGTGGCATCTCGCCGGGCACACGTAAGCCTGCGCATGAGATCGACCCATGGTTTCGCTGTGTGAAGGACACTCTGGTTGCCCCTACTGGTCGCACGGCAAAGCTGTGGACTGACGCCGGCTCCCGTGGGAAATATGATGGGGGTGTGTGGATGATCGCTGACTCTGATGGATTTGCAGCGGGGTCTGGAAAGACCTACGAGGGCGGAGTGCGACATCAGGAGTACAAGCTCATTTAGCTTGGTCACCTCTGACCTCAAAAAGCTTCTTTCAGCCTTCCTGCAACAGGCGAGCTTCCTGAGTCCCTTAAGGCGTAACTCGAGCAGTTTCAAGTTAGAGGCGTTTTCAAAACGTGGTCCGGCCTATCAAGAAGAATGCCAGTTGCGCTGCTGATTTTTTTAAATGTCTTGGTCGCCCGTCTCATGAACCGGATGGGCAACTGCCAACAGTGAAAGTTCAGAGTCGAGAGAGACGGCGCTGCACTTGCCTGCTACAGCACCTGCAATATCTTGCAATGCTCAGATCCACCCTCGTGGATGCCAGAGGCCGAAGGAGTTCGAAGAGCTGCAGGAGGTGGGGATGTTGTTGCAACCCAGCGCCTGCCTTGCTTCTGCGGTTTGCTCTCTTGGCGAATGTGCCTCCTCTGGCGCTTTGCGGTTTGCGAACAATGCGTGGACACGTTTTTCGGAACAGCGGTTTCCGCAAAACTGAGAGTGTGGCTATGAGTTGCTGATGTTTGTGGGTTGAAGCACATGAGCTGGCTGTCCAGGAAGCAATCATGCAGGATGTCGTCATATGTCATCTGCAGGCCTGCAGACCTTCGACAAACGCAGCGCCGGGTATCAACGCTTTCAAGCCTGGACCATGTAAGACACCGGCCGTTCTGAAGGTCCCTTGATGGAGCAGATGGATCTCTGACATACTCTGATAGCTGCTGTCGTTCCGAGTGGTGCCAGGCCTGGGCCTGCCATGCTCGACCATGCTCGCCCGGCACCAAGAATAGCGGCTCAATAGCGTGTGGCTGCGTATATGAGTCATGCAGAGGATGCTCAGCAGCCGAAAGCATGAGGCAGTGCCCTCTCCTCCAGCTTCGGGTTGAGCCGCCGCATGCCGCCGCCTTATCAGACATGCCTGATCGCCAGAGGAATGCCTGAACTCGAAGGATGCCTTCGGTTTTGGCCTCGAGGCGTGTGGTGTGCTTTCAGAGCATGGGCTTCGGTCCTTTGGTGCAGGGCTCGGTAAGGCCATGAGTCACATGATGCTGCCAGTTTCACTTCTCTGGTCACGCGCCTTGCTCGTAGCGGTAGCAGTGGAACTGAAGTAGCTTTCGAGGTGACCTCCCGAACCCTTCCATAGTGCCATGGCGGCGCCGGCGCAGCCAGCTCTCGAGATCAAGGTTCACCGTCACGGATGGGAAGAGCAGTACTCTGATCGGGGTACAGGGGCAAGGCAAGACTTGACCACCTGGCGACCGAAAGACCCTCTGGACCCGAATCACTTTCGTGTCTCCCACACTGCCACCAACTCCCGCCACCCCCCTTGTGCTGAGCCACTCGTCGTGACACCACTCAGTGAAGGTTGCTTGGCAAAGCCGCTGTGCTGTGAGTGCGTCTGGACTGACGATCGCACGAAGGGCAGTCGCGATGGGCAACTTTGGAGACCCGTGCCCCCTCCGGGGTTTGTTGCTCTGAGTGATATGGGTGTCCACATGGACAATCGTGGCATCTCGCCGGGCACACGTAAGCCTGCGCATGAGATCGACCCATGGTTTCGCTGTGTGAAGGACACTCTGGTTGCCCCTACTGGTCGCACGGCAAAGCTGTGGACTGACGCCGGCTCCCGTGGGAAATATGATGGGGGTGTGTGGATGATCGCTGACTCTGATGGATTTGCAGCGGGGTCTGGAAAGACCTACGAGGGCGGAGTGCGACATCAGGAGTACAAGCTCATTTAGCTTGGTCACCTCTGACCTCAAAAAGCTTCTTTCAGCCTTCCTGCAACAGGCGAGCTTCCTGAGTCCCTTAAGGCGTAACTCGAGCAGTTTCAAGTTAGAGGCGTTTTCAAAACGTGGTCCGGCCTATCAAGAAGAATGCCAGTTGCGCTGCTGATTTTTTTAAATGTCTTGGTCGCCCGTCTCATGAACCGGATGGGCAACTGCCAACAGTGAAAGTTCAGAGTCGAGAGAGACGGCGCTGCACTTGCCTGCTACAGCACCTGCAATATCTTGCAATGCTCAGATCCACCCTCGTGGATGCCAGAGGCCGAAGGAGTTCGAAGAGCTGCAGGAGGTGGGGATGTTGTTGCAACCCAGCGCCTGCCTTGCTTCTGCGGTTTGCTCTCTTGGCGAATGTGCCTCCTCTGGCGCTTTGCGGTTTGCGAACAATGCGTGGACACGTTTTTCGGAACAGCGGTTTCCGCAAAACTGAGAGTGTGGCTATGAGTTGCTGACGTTTGTGGGTTGAAGCGCATGAGCTGGCTGTCCAGGAAGCAAACATGCATGATGTCGTCATCTGTCATCTGCAGGTCTGCAAACCTTCGACAAACGCAGCGCCGGAAATCAACAAGCCTGGATCATGTCAGACACCGGCCGTTCTGAAGGTCCCTTGATGGAGTAGATGGATCTCTGATACCAGGCCTGGGCCTGCCATGCTCGACCATGCTCGCCCGGCACCAAGAATAGCGGCTCAATAGCGTGTGGCTGCGTATATGAGTCATGCAGAGGATGCTCAGCAGCCGAAAGCATGAGGCAGTGCCCTCTCCTCCAGCTTCGGGTTGAGCCGCCGCATGCCGCCGCCTTATCAGACATGCCTGATCGCCAGAGGAATGCCTGAACTCGAAGGATGCCTTCGGTTTTGGCCTCGAGGCGTGTGGTGTGCTTTCAGAGCATGGGCTTCGGTCCCTTGGTGCAGGGCTCGGTAAGGCTGTAAAAGGCCTCGACGTGTTCAATGTACATGAGTCACATGATGCTGCCAGTTTCACTTCTCTGGTCACGCGCCTTGCTCGTAGCGGTAGCAGTGGAACTGAAGTAGCTTTCGAGGTGACCTCCCGAACCCTTCCATAGTGCCATGGCGGCGCCGGCGCAGCCAGCTCTCGAGATCAAGGTTCACCGTCACGGATGGGAAGAGCAGTACTCTGATCGGGGTACAGGGGCAAGGCAAGACTTGACCACCTGGCGACCGAAAGACCCTCTGGACCCGAATCACTTTCGTGTCTCCCACACTGCCACCAACTCCCGCCACCCCCCTTGTGCTGAGCCACTCGTCGTGACACCACTCAGTGAAGGTTGCTTGGCAAAGCCGCTGTACTGTGAGTGCGTCTGGACTGATATGGGTGTCCACATGGACAATCGTGGCATCTCGCCGGGCACATGTAAGCCTGCGCATGAGATCGACCCGTGGTTTCGCTGTGTGAAGGACACTCTGGTTGCCCCTACTGGTCGCACGGCAAAGCTGTGGACTGACGCCGGCTCCCGTGGGAAATATGATGGGGGTGTGTGGATGATCGCTGGCTCTGATGGATTTGCAGCGGGGTCTGGAAAGACCTACGAGGGGGGAGTGCGACATCAGGAGTACAAGCTCATTTAGCTTGGTCGCCTCTGACCTCAAAAAGCTTCTTTCAGCCTTCCTGCAACAGGCGAGCTTCCTGAGTCCCTTAAGGCGTAACTCGAGCAGTTTCAAGTTAGAGGCGTTTTCAAAACGTGGTCCGGCCTATCAAGAAGAATGCCAGTTGCGCTGCTGATTTTTTTTTAAATGTCTTGGTCGCCCGTCTCATGAACCGGATGGGCAACTGCCAACAGTGAAAGTTCAGAGTCAACAGAGACGGCGCTGCGCTTGCCTGCTACAGCACTTGCAATATCTTGCAATGCTCAGATCCACCCTCGTGGATGCCAGAGGCCGAAGGAGTTCGAAGAGCTGCAGGAGGTGGGGATGTTGTTGCAACCCAGCGCCTGCCTTGCTTCTGCGGTTTGCTCTCTTGGCGAATGTGCCTCCTCTGGCGCTTTGCGGTTTCTCACAATGCGTGGACACGTTTTTCGGAACAGCGGTTTCCGCAAAACTGAGAGTGTGGCTATCCGTTGCTGACGTTTGTGGGTTGAAGCACATGAGCTGGCTGTCCAGGAAGCAAACATGCATGATGTCGTCATCTGTCATCTGCAGGCCTGCAAACCTTCGACAAACGCAGCGCCGGACATCAACGATCATGGATCATGTCAGACACCGGCCGTTCTGAGGTCCCTTGATGGAGTAGATGGATCTCTGACATACTCTGATAGCTGCTGTCGTTCCGAGCGGTGCCAGGCCTGGGCCTGCCATGCTCGACCATGCTCGCCCGGCACCAAGAATAGCGGCTCAATAGCGTGTGGCTGCGTATATGAGTCATGCAGAGGATGCTCAGCAGCCGAAAGCATGAGGCAGTGCCCTCTCCTCCAGCTTCGGGTTGAGCCGCCGCATGCCGCCGCCTTATCAGACATGCCTGATCGCCAGAGGAATGCCTGAATTCGAAGGATGCCTTCGGTTTTGGCCTCGAGGCGTGTGGTGTGCTTTCAGAGCATGGGCTTCGGTCCTTTGGTGCAGGGCTCGGTAAGGCCATGAGTCACATGATGCTGCCAGTTTCACTTCTCTGGTCACGCGCCTTGCTCGTAGCGGTAGCAGTGGAACTGAAGTAGCTTTCGAGGTGACCTCCCGAACCCTTCCATAGTGCCATGGCGGCGCCGGCGCAGCCAGCTCTCGAGATCAAGGTTCACCGTCACGGATGGGAAGAGCAGTACTCTGATCGGGGGACAGGGGCAAGGCAAGACTTGACCACCTGGCGACCGAAAGACCCTCTGGACCCGAATCACTTTCGTGTCTCCCACACTGCCACCAACTCCCGCCACCCCCCTTGTGCTGAGCCACTCGTCGTGACACCACTCAGTGAAGGTTGCTTGGCAAAGCCGCTGTACTGTGAGTGCGTCTGGACTGACGAGCGCACGAAGGGCAGTCGCGATGGGCAACTTTGGAGACCCGTGCCCCCTCCGGGGTTTGTTGCTCTGAGTGATATGGGTGTCCACATGGACAATCGTGGCATCTCGCCGGGCACACGTAAGCCTGCGCATGAGATCGACCCATGGTTTCGCTGTGTGAAGGACACTCTGGTTGCCCCTACTGGTCGCACGGCAAAGCTGTGGACTGACGCCGGCTCCCGTGGGAAATATGATGGGGGTGTGTGGATGATCGCTGACTCTGATGGATTTGCAGCGGGGTCTGGAAAGACCTACGAGGGCGGAGTGCGACATCAGGAGTACAAGCTCATTTAGCTTGGTCACCTCTGACCTCAAAAAGCTTCTTTCAGCCTTCCTGCAACAGGCGAGCTTCCTGAGTCCCTTAAGGCGTAACTCGAGCAGTTTCAAGGTAGAGGCGTTTTCAAAACGTGGTCCGGCCTATCAAGAAGAATGCCAGTTGCGCTGCTGATTTTTTTAAATGTCTTGGTCGCCCGTCTCATGAACCGGATGGGCAACTGCCAACAGTGAAAGTTCAGAGTCGAGAGAGACGGCGCTGCACTTGCCTGCTACAGCACCTGCAATATCTTGCAATGCTCAGATCCACCCTCGTGGATGCCAGAGGCCGAAGGAGTTCGAAGAGCTGCAGGAGGTGGGGATGTTGTTGCAACCCAGCGCCTGCCTTGCTTCTGCGGTTTGCTCTCTTGGCGAATGTGCCTCCTCTGGCGCTTTGCGGTTTGCGAACAATGCGTGGACACGTTTTTCGGAACAGCGGTTTCCGCAAAACTGAGAGTGTGGCTATCCGTTGCTGACGTTTGTGGGTTGAAGCGCATGAGCTGGCTGTCCAGGAAGCAAACATGCATGATGTCGTCATCTGTCATCTGCAGGTCTGCAAACCTTCGACAAACGCAGCGCCGGAAATCAACAAGCCTGGATCATGTCAGACACCGGCCGTTCTGAAGGTCCCTTGATGGAGTAGATGGATCTCTGATACCAGGCCTGGGCCTGCCATGCTCGACCATGCTCGCCCGGCACCAAGAATAGCGGCTCAATAGCGTGTGGCTGCGTATATGAGTCATGCAGAGGATGCTCAGCAGCCGAAAGCATGAGGCAGTGCCCTCTCCTCCAGCTTCGGGTTGAGCCGCCGCATGCCGCCGCCTTATCAGACATGCCTGATCGCCAGAGGAATGCCTGAACTCGAAGGATGCCTTCGGTTTTGGCCTCGAGGCGTGTGGTGTGCTTTCAGAGCATGGGCTTCGGTCCTTTGGTGCAGGGCTCGGTAAGGCTGTAAAAGGCCTCGACGTGTTCAATGTACATGAGTCACATGATGCTGCCAGTTTCACTTCTCTGGTCACGCGCCTTGCTCGTAGCGGTAGCAGTGGAACTGAAGTAGCTTTCGAGGTGACCTCCCGAACCCTTCCATAGTGCCATGGCGGCGCCGGCGCAGCCAGCTCTCGAGATCAAGGTTCACCGTCACGGATGGGAAGAGCAGTACTCTGATCGGGGGACAGGGGCAAGGCAAGACTTGACCACCTGGCGACCGAAAGACCCTCTGGACCCGAATCACTTTCGTGTCTCCCACACTGCCACCAACTCCCGCCACCCCCCTTGTGCTGAGCCACTCGTCGTGACACCACTCAGTGAAGGTTGCTTGGCAAAGCCGCTGTACTGTGAGTGCGTCTGGACTGACGAGCGCACGAAGGGCAGTCGCGATGGGCAACTTTGGAGACCCGTGCCCCCTCCGGGGTTTGTTGCTCTGAGTGATATGGGTGTCCACATGGACAATCGTGGCATCTCGCCGGGCACACGTAAGCCTGCGCATGAGATCGACCCATGGTTTCGCTGTGTGAAGGACACTCTGGTTGCCCCTACTGGTCGCACGGCAAAGCTGTGGACTGACGCCGGCTCCCGTGGGAAATATGATGGGGGTGTGTGGATGATCGCTGACTCTGATGGATTTGCATGGATTTGCAGCGGGGTCTGGAAAGACCTACGAGGGCGGAGTGCGACATCAGGAGTACAAGCTCATTTAGCTTGGTCACCTCTGACCTCAAAAAGCTTCTTTCAGCCTTCCTGCAACAGGCGAGCTTCCTGAGTCCCTTAAGGCGTAACTCGAGCAGTTTCAAGTTAGAGGCGTTTTCAAAACGTGGTCCGGCCTATCAAGAAGAATGCCAGTTGCGCTGCTGATTTTTTTAAATGTCTTGGTCGCCCGTCTCATGAACCGGATGGGCAACTGCCAACAGTGAAAGTTCAGAGTCGAGAGAGACGGCGCTGCACTTGCCTGCTACAGCACCTGCAATATCTTGCAATGCTCAGATCCACCCTCGTGGATGCCAGAGGCCGAAGGAGTTCGAAGAGCTGCAGGAGGTGGGGATGTTGTTGCAACCCAGCGCCTGCCTTGCTTCTGCGGTTTGCTCTCTTGGCGAATGTGCCTCCTCTGGCGCTTTGCGGTTTGCGAACAATGCGTGGACACGTTTTTCGGAACAGCGGTTTCCGCAAAACTGAGAGTGTGGCTATGAGTTGCTGATGTTTGTGGGTTGAAGCACATGAGCTGGCTGTCCAGGAAGCAAACATGCAGGATGTCGTCATATGTCATCTGCAGGCCTGCAGACCTTCGACAAACGCAGCGCCGGGTATCAACGCTTTCAAGCCTGGACCATGTAAGACACCGGCCGTTCTGAAGGTCCCTTGATGGAGCAGATGGATCTCTGACATACTCTGATAGCTGCTGTCGTTCCGAGCGGTGCCAGGCCTGGGCCTGCCATGCTCGACCATGCTCGCCCGGCACCAAGAATAGCGGCTCAATAGCGTGTGGCTGCGTATATGAGTCATGCAGAGGATGCTCAGCAGCCGAAAGCATGAGGCAGTGCCCTCTCCTCCAGCTTCGGGTTGAGCCGCCGCATGCCGCCGCCTTATCAGACATGCCTGATCGCCAGAGGAATGCCTGAACTCGAAGGATGCCTTCGGTTTTGGCCTCGAGGCGTGTGGTGTGCTTTCAGAGCATGGGCTTCGGTCCTTTGGTGCAGGGCTCGGTAAGGCCATGAGTCACATGATGCTGCCAGTTTCACTTCTCTGGTCACGCGCCTTGCTCGTAGCGGTAGCAGTGGAACTGAAGTAGCTTTCGAGGTGACCTCCCGAACCCTTCCATAGTGCCATGGCGGCGCCGGCGCAGCCAGCTCTCGAGATCAAGGTTCACCGTCACGGATGGGAAGAGCAGTACTCTGATCGGGGGACAGGGGCAAGGCAAGACTTGACCACCTGGCGACCGAAAGACCCTCTGGACCCGAATCACTTTCGTGTCTCCCACACTGCCACCAACTCCCGCCACCCCCCTTGTGCTGAGCCACTCGTCGTGACACCACTCAGTGAAGGTTGCTTGGCAAAGCCGCTGTACTGTGAGTGCGTCTGGACTGACGATCGCACGAAGGGCAGTCGCGATGGGCAACTTTGGAGACCCGTGCCCCCTCCGGGGTTTGTTGCTCTGAGTGATATGGGTGTCCACATGGACAATCGTGGCATCTCGCCGGGCACACGTAAGCCTGCGCATGAGATCGACCCATGGTTTCGCTGTGTGAAGGACACTCTGGTTGCCCCTACTGGTCGCACGGCAAAGCTGTGGACTGACGCCGGCTCCCGTGGGAAATATGATGGGGGTGTGTGGATGATCGCTGACTCTGATGGATTTGCAGCGGGGTCTGGAAAGACCTACGAGGGCGGAGTGCGACATCAGGAGTACAAGCTCATTTAGCTTGGTCACCTCTGACCTCAAAAAGCTTCTTTCAGCCTTCCTGCAACAGGCGAGCTTCCTGAGTCCCTTAAGGCGTAACTCGAGCAGTTTCAAGGTAGAGGCGTTTTCAAAACGTGGTCCGGCCTATCAAGAAGAATGCCAGTTGCGCTGCTGATTTTTTTAAATGTCTTGGTCGCCCGTCTCATGAACCGGATGGGCAACTGCCAACAGTGAAAGTTCAGAGTCGAGAGAGACGGCGCTGCACTTGCCTGCTACAGCACCTGCAATATCTTGCAATGCTCAGATCCACCCTCGTGGATGCCAGAGGCCGAAGGAGTTCGAAGAGCTGCAGGAGGTGGGGATGTTGTTGCAACCCAGCGCCTGCCTTGCTTCTGCGGTTTGCTCTCTTGGCGAATGTGCCTCCTCTGGCGCTTTGCGGTTTGCGAACAATGCGTGGACACGTTTTTCGGAACAGCGGTTTCCGCAAAACTGAGAGTGTGGCTATCCGTTGCTGACGTTTGTGGGTTGAAGCGCATGAGCTGGCTGTCCAGGAAGCAAACATGCATGATGTCGTCATCTGTCATCTGCAGGTCTGCAAACCTTCGACAAACGCAGCGCCGGAAATCAACAAGCCTGGATCATGTCAGACACCGGCCGTTCTGAAGGTCCCTTGATGGAGTAGATGGATCTCTGATACCAGGCCTGGGCCTGCCATGCTCGACCATGCTCGCCCGGCACCAAGAATAGCGGCTCAATAGCGTGTGGCTGCGTATATGAGTCATGCAGAGGATGCTCAGCAGCCGAAAGCATGAGGCAGTGCCCTCTCCTCCAGCTTCGGGTTGAGCCGCCGCATGCCGCCGCCTTATCAGACATGCCTGATCGCCAGAGGAATGCCTGAACTCGAAGGATGCCTTCGGTTTTGGCCTCGAGGCGTGTGGTGTGCTTTCAGAGCATGGGCTTCGGTCCTTTGGTGCAGGGCTCGGTAAGGCTGTAAAAGGCCTCGACGTGTTCAATGTACATGAGTCACATGATGCTGCCAGTTTCACTTCTCTGGTCACGCGCCTTGCTCGTAGCGGTAGCAGTGGAACTGAAGTAGCTTTCGAGGTGACCTCCCGAACCCTTCCATAGTGCCATGGCGGCGCCGGCGCAGCCAGCTCTCGAGATCAAGGTTCACCGTCACGGATGGGAAGAGCAGTACTCTGATCGGGGGACAGGGGCAAGGCAAGACTTGACCACCTGGCGACCGAAAGACCCTCTGGACCCGAATCACTTTCGTGTCTCCCACACTGCCACCAACTCCCGCCACCCCCCTTGTGCTGAGCCACTCGTCGTGACACCACTCAGTGATGGTTGCTTGGCAAAGCCGCTGTACTGTGAGTGCGTCTGGACTGACGAGCGCACGAAGGGCAGTCGCGATGGGCAACTTTGGAGACCCGTGCCCCCTCCGGGGTTTGTTGCTCTGAGTGATATGGGTGTCCACATGGACAATCGTGGCATCTCGCCGGGCACACGTAAGCCTGCGCATGAGATCGACCCATGGTTTCGCTGTGTGAAGGACACTCTGGTTGCCCCTACTGGTCGCACGGCAAAGCTGTGGACTGACGCCGGCTCCCGTGGGAAATATGATGGGGGTGTGTGGATGATCGCTGACTCTGACTCTGATGGATTTGCAGCGGGGTCTGGAAAGACCTACGAGGGCGGAGCGCCTCTGACCTCAAAAAGCTTCTTTCAGCCTTCCTGCAACAGGCGAGCTTCCTGAGTCCCTTAAGGCGTAACTCGAGCAGTTTCAAGTTAGAGGCGTTTTCAAAACGTGGTCCGGCCTATCAAGAAGAATGCCAGTTGCGCTGCTGATTTTTTTTAATGTCTTGGTCGCCCGTCTCATGAACCGGATGGGCAACTGCCAACAGTGAAAGTTCAGAGTCAACAGAGACGGCGCTGCACTTGTCGGCTTGTCATGCAATATTGCAGTGTGATAGTCCGTGACGCCCAGAGATATGACGCTCTTGTGTTAACCAAGGCAATGTGATTGATTATCCATGCTATGTGCCAGCGGGGCCCACCAGAGGGGGCTATGAAATCCTTGCTTCAACCCATGCCCCATGCAGTGAAACCGAGAGCTGTGAAACTCATGTCCGCGCCTGGAATTGCCTGGAGCTTTGAGAAGCCACTAGTGATGGTGAATCATTGATGGCATTTCGAGTCGAAACGCCTCGGCTGTCGTTTCCCAGCGCTTCCCAGCTGCGCCATGGCCCGCGCGAACATGGACATCAGTGTCCGCTTGTCCAGGGCCTTCGAGGAGAGCTACTCCGACCGCGGGACAGGGGCCTGCCAGGACATGTCTTGGCGCCACAGGCCAGGTCCGAGAAACTGGTGCCAAAGGTTTTCAACCATGGGGTAGCTAGGAGGTTCTGTGGCTCGAGTTTCCGGCCCTGACCAGGATCATGGAGGGGTCCGATGAGAAGCGTCTGACATGCGAAGACTATGGAGCTGAGGTGGGGAGCTGATGGGCTCAGGGCTAAAAAGCTTATAGCTGATTAATTTTGCAAGAGCCTTATTGTAGGAGCAACACTTCTCGTCGAAGTACCACAATCTGCAGAATGCACATCGGAACCCACGCAAGCCACCCCGCGGCTTGGCCGCCGCTGTGAGGGGCGTGGACGGTGCTGCCCTGGCAAGCCGCGACGGTTCGTGCGCACATGGACCGACACGGGCACCAAAGGTGTCAGGGACGGCAATCAGTGATGGTTGCTTGGCAAAGCCGCTGTACTTTGAGTGCGTCTGGACTGACGAGCGCACGAAGGGCAGTCGCGATGGGCCACTTTGGAGACCCGTGCCCCCTCCGGAGTATGTTGCTCTGAGTGATATGGCCGTCCGCATGGACAATCGTGGCATCTCGCCGGGCACACGTAACCTGCGCATGAGATCGACCCATGGTTTCGCTGTGTGAAGGACACTCTGGTTGCCCCTACTGGTCGCACGGCAAAGCTGTGGACTGACGCCGGCTCCCGTGGGAAATATGATGGGGGTGTGTGGATGATCGCTGACTCTGACTCTGATGGATTTGCAGCGGGGTCTGGAAAGACCTACGAGGGGGGAGTGCGACATCAGGAGTACAAGCTCATTTAGCTTGGTCGCCTCTGACCTCAAAAAGCTTCTTTCAGCCTTCCTGCAACAGGCGAGCTTCCTGAGTCCCTTAAGCCGTAACTCGAGCAGTTTCAAGCTAGAGGCGTTTTCAAAACGTGGTCCAGCCTATCAAGAAGAATGCCAGTTGCGCTGCTGATTCTTTTTAATGTCTTGGTCGCCCGTCTCATGAACCGGATGGGCAACTGCCAACAGTGAAAGTTCAGAGTCAACAGAGACGGCGCTGCACTTGTCGGCTTGTCATGCAATATTGCAGTGTGATAGTCCGTGACGCCCAGAGATATGACGCTCTTGTGTTAACCAAGGCAATGTGATTGATTATCCATGCTATGTGCCACTCGGGGCCCACCAGAGGGGGCTATGAAATCCTTGCTTCAACCCATGCCCCATGCAGTGAAACCGAGAGCTGTGAAACTCATGTCCGCGCCTGGAATTGCTTGGAGCTTTGAGAAGCCACTAGTGATGGTGAATCATTGATGGCATTTCGAGTCGAAACGCCTCGGCTGTCGTTTCCCAGCGCTTCCCAGCTGCGCCATGGCCCGCGCGAACATGGACATCAGTGTCCGCTTGTCCAGGGCCTTCGAGGAGAGCTACTCCGACCGCGGGACAGGGGCCCGCCAGGACATGTCTTGGCGCCACAGGCCAGGTCCGAGAAACTTGTGCCAAAGGTTTTCAACCATGGGGTAGCTAGGAGGTTCTGTGGCTCGAGTTTCCGGCCCTGACCAGGATCATGGAGGGGTCCGATGAGAAGCGTCTGACATGCGAAGACTATGGAGCTGAGGTGGGGAGCTGATGGGCTCAGGGCTAAAAAGCTTATAGCTGATTAATTTTGCAAGAGCCTTATTGTAGGAGCAACACTTCTCGTCGAAGTACCACAATCTGCAGAATGCACATCGGAAACCACGCAAGCCACCCCGCGGCTTGGCCGCCGCTGTGAGGGGCGTGGACGGTGCTGCCCTGGCAAGCCGCGACGGTTCGTGCGCACATGGACCGACACGGGCACCAAAGGTGTCAAGGACGGCAATCAGTGATGGTTGCTTGGCAAAGCCGATGTACTTTGAGTGCGTCTGGACTGACGAGCGCACGAAGGGCAGTCGCGAAGGGCAACTTTGGAGAACCGTGCCCCCTCCGGAGTATGTTGCTCTGAGTGATATGGCCGTCTGCATGGACAATCGTGGCATCTCGCCGGGCACACGTAACCTGCGCATGAGATCGACCCATGGTTTCGCTGTGTGAAGGACACTCTGGTTGCCCCTACTGGTCGCACGGCAAAGCTGTGGACTGACGCCGGCTCCCGTGGGAAATATGATGGGGGTGTGTGGATGATCGCTGACTCTGACTCTGATGGATTTGCAGCGGGGTCTGGAAAGACCTACGAGGGGGGAGTGCGACATCAGGAGTACAAGCTCATTTAGCTTGGTCGCCTCTGACCTCAAAAAGCTTCTTTCAGCCTTCCTGCAACAGGCGAGCTTCCTGAGTCCCTTAAGCCGTAACTCGAGCAGTTTCAAGCTAGAGGCGTTTTCAAAACGTGGTCCGGCTTATCAAGAAGAATGCCAGTTGCGCTGCTGATTTTTTTAATGTCTTGGTCGCCCGTCTCATGAACCGGATGGGCAACTGCCAACAGTGAAAGTTCAGAGTCAACAGAGACGGCGCTGCACTTGTCGGCTTGTCATGCAATATTGCAGTGTGATAGTCCGTGACGCCCAGAGATATGACGCTCTTGTGTTAACCAAGGCAATGTGATTGATTATCCATGCTATGTGCCACTCGGGGCCCACCAGAGGGGGCTATGAAATCCTTGCTTCAACCCATGCCCCATGCAGTGAAACCGAGAGCTGTGAAACTCATGTCCGCGCCTGGAATTGCCTGGAGCTTTGAGAAGCCACTAGTGATGGTGAATCATTGATGGCATTTCGAGTCGAAACGCCTCGGCTGTCGTTTCCCAGTGCTTCCCAGCTGCGCCATGGCCCGCGCGAACATGGACATCAGTGTCCGCTTGTCCAGGGCCTTCGAGGAGAGCTACTCCGACCGCGGGACAGGGGCCCGCCAGGACATGTTTGTTTGGCGCCACAGGCCAGGTCCGAGAAACTGGTGCCAAAGGTTTTCAAGTCTTGCTGAAACGTGTGCTGGACCATGGGGTAGCTATAGGAGGTTCTGTGGCTCGAGTATCCGGCCCTGACCAGGATCATGGAGGGGTCCGATGAGAAGCGCATCCTCTACGTGGCCACCAACTCACGCGAGCCACCCCGCGGCCTGGCCGCCGCTGTGAGGGGCGTGGACGGTGCTGCCCTGGCCAAGCCGCTACGGTTCGTGTGCATATGGACCAACATGGGCACCCGAGGTTTCAGGGACGGCTCGCTGTGGCGGCCTGAAGCTCCGGAGGGCTACGTGGCACTCAGTGACGTGGCGATTCACATGAACAATCATGGCCTCAAGCCTGGCGTCACCAAGCAGCCCGACGATATCGATAAACACTTCCGCTGCGTCCACAAGTCCTTCGTGGAAAGCACGGAGCTTGGGAACGTGATTTGGACCGACGCTGGCACTTCAGGGCGTTACGACGGCCGTGTGCACGGGCTTCGGGGCTCGCCTGGGATGATTGCCTGCCACCACCTGCCCGCAAAGCAGCAGCAGCATCGCTTGGCAGTGTGGGTGACTTGCCAAGAGGATCCGGCCAGGACCGACTGCGAACTCTCAGAGGCCGTGCTCCCTGTACGGGTCACCTGTGAAGTCGCCTGGTGCCCGCTGCATGATGTTCCACAAGAGTCGTGTGCCCATTGCCAACAGCAAGTGGAAGATCTGGACCACGCAGCACGCAACGGCCACCTGGTGCTACCTCGCAAGGAGCTTTGTGTGCGGCTCCTCAGCGGGGAGCACCTGCGTGTGCCCTTCTGCTCCTGCGACACCGTCCTTGACGTCAGGACGAAACTGGCTCTCCTCAAGCGCGTCAAACAGAGCTACATCAAGCTTGTGCTCGAAGACGACCTGAACGAAGTGCATGGTGAAGACCCTATTGAGCCGCGTGAGGGCAGCTGTTTATGCGCGATTATTGTTGGACAGTAGCATTTCCTGCAGCTTATATGTGCAGTCCTGGGACAGCGCTTCCTGCGTGATCCTGCCAAGAACATGGCCAGTGTCGCTGCAGATGGTTGCGCTGCTGATTTTTTTTAATGTCTTGGTCGCCTGTCTCATGAACCGGATGGGCAACTGCCAACAGTGAAAGTTCAGAGTCAAGAGAGACGGCGCTGCACTTGTCCGCATGCTGCAGCGCAATGCTCAGAGCCACCCTCGTGGATGCCAGAGGCCGAAGGAGTTCGAAGAGCTGCAGGAGGTGGGGATGTTGTTGCAACCCAGCGCCTGCGGTGCTTCTGCGGGTTGCTCTTTTGGCAAATGTGCCTCCTCTGGCGCGTGCAGTTTGCGGACAATGCGTGGACACGTTTTTCGGAACAGCGGTGATCGGCATCAAAAATCAATAACATGCACTATTACACCATCATGCTCTATTGCACTATTATACACCATGGCAATATGACAATTGCAACCTGGTTAATTCTATAGGATTCTTAGGCGTTGGGTTTTGTGAAGGATCTGGCCGGACTACAGGGAGGAGAGAGTATAGAGAGAGAGAATATAGGGAGAGATCACGAATAGAGAGAGAGAATAGAGAGAAAGAATAAAGAGAGAGA